GGACAGACTTCTGAGTGGATGCTTTCTCCAGTCACTACAGTCTTAATCTCTTTAAGTCTAAGGTTAACTGATATCTTCAAGTCTGGGGTCAACTGATATCTTCAAGTCTGGGGTCGACTGATATCTTCAAGTCTAGGGTTAACTGATATTTTTCCTACATTTCCTCTTAAAATGCACTCCTTACCTCCTATTATGTGCAACAACCTCAATCAGTAATTCACTACCTTGGGTGGCTCATGGGCCTTGTATTGACTGAACAATTGGTAATTTTTTTTTTTTAAATCCTTGTGATGATAAATTACTGAGTCAATGAATAATAGCACTTGTTATTTCTGATTATTTACAATCACCTGAAACTCAAAATTTTAGTTCTAGTTCTTCTTTGTACATTTTATGAAACTGGTAAATTAAAAGATAATATTTGCATTATTATTGCACATTATTGTTATTTAAGACTAAAATATGGTAACCAAGCTGGATTGGATGGGTGGGATATTTTTAAAACATTTTATAATGGTTTATTAATCTAACTCCATTGCTGCAAGCCACTAGACAGTGAAACCTTAATGATACCAAGAGATTGTGAGATGTGTAAAGAGATAACTGGGGCCAGAATTATTCAGTAGGTGATAACAATCTACAGGCTTAATGGTTACAGGCAATATTAAAAGTAGGATTGGTAACTATGTGACAAAGATCATATTTTCTAAGGATGTCCTCTTTTGGTTACAATTCTTGGAGGATTTTCATGATTCCATTTGATAAACATTTGAAAAAAAAGCATCAGAAGAATTTTGGAAAGATGAAATTGTATAGCAGTTATGGAAAAAATAAAAGAAGTGAATAAAAAATTAGTTAATGAATAATTAGAGTTATAAATAGATTTGTGAATGAATTACTTTGATTACAAATGAATACTAAAATTAAATTAGTAATGAATAAAGGTTGTTTCTACTTGTATCTTTTGTGAGTTCTGTCTGTCAAATTCTATTCAGAATTATCAAATAAATGTGTAAATAAATAAAGAATGGCTATAGCCTTTCTTTATTTACACATATAGTTATTACATAAATGATAACAAAGAAGCAATGAATAAAATACCTTTTATAACTTAAACTTATTTAAATTATTGAAATGTCAGTATTTTTGATAGTGTTTTAATTAAGTTTTTAGCTACAGCTGCATCTTCTTTTACTGTATATGACCAAATAAATTGATGAATTGTAACAATGTGGCAACAATGACTAGAAGTTAATCATTATTTTAGTTCTAAGAAAATAAATTTAGTTGTGTATAAACAAAAATTATCAATAAAAACTAATGCAAAGGAGGAAAACTTGAGCAAACACAACTATTGTACATTATAAAATTCATATGTGGTGGTGAAAGTTTAGATAACAAAAGACATAAGACTTTGAAAAAGCATTAACTCATCATTTAGAGATGAAAGTGGGGAGAGAAAAGGTAGAACTCTGCATGTATATTATTATGAGAGAAATGTGAAAATCCATGTATATACATAGGTGCCAAAAAGTTCCCAACCCACTTCCCAAAACCTCACAAAATATCAGTTTTTTAATACCTTCTTATTAATAAATAGATTATAAAAGGTATACAAAAGGTATAATTAAAAAAAGAAAGGTATGCAAAAGGTATAATTAAAAAAAGAAATAATAGAACAAAATCACTTAAAAACTTTTTGCCATTCACATTTTGAAATAAAAATGCTATTAATTTTCTGAGAAAACAAAAAATAAAGCTAGTCTATCTTGAGAAAAAATTTATCATCTAACTTAACAAAATTGATGAATAACCAATATGTAAACTTTAATCAAATAAAATTTACAAAGTATTCTTTTTTTCAAGCAACAATCTACTTAACAGTTTTCTCACTAATGTTTAATTCATTTTTAAATTATATTTTGGCTCTGCTTCTTTCAAATTAAATACTTGATTTAATCGAATAAAAACATTCTGTTTTTTTCTTGGGTTAATATTTTCCACTGACATGACGTGGAATGATTATATTGAATCACTTGCTAGGAAAGTTGGTTCACTGTGTCATTGTAGATAATTTTTCTTGCCAGAATCTATCTTACACCTTTATAACTAACATTTGGTTTGGTGCTTTAACTATGCTTCTAGAGATTCTTCACAAAATCCTAATGTTAGCAGTTCCTAACATGGCACTTCAGCTTCAGTGACTTTCCCACTATTGTAATGTGTCCTCTCTGTGCCTTTTCTATAAATATTTTCATGGTAATTGTCCTGATGACCTTTCCTCTTTGGTACCTCGACTTTACAAATTAACTAGCAGTTAGGTCTTAAAATTTTGCAGTTGAAATTGTTTGGTGTAACCATAAGTTCTATGTTAACAGTTTCTTCTCTCACACTTCTTGTCTGTGAAACTCTCTTTTGACTTCTTGCTTTCTATTCAACAGTGATCTTTAAAAATTTAACTGTAACTTCAGTCATCAACTTCTGTCTCCTTGATTCCTGTTCTTTTAGTGTCCTCACCCCTTAATAATGTTTTTTTCTCAGATGACTCTTTCACTCTAAGTATCCCCTTACATCTTAGTGGCTTTATCACCTTGCATGGGTTAAAATGATTAAAAAAAAAGCTATAATGAGGGGCAATAAATTTCCACAAACACAAAAATAAAAAAGAATATGGTGTACAACCAGGAACTGACCCATGCCATCTTATGTAAAAGGCAAACAGCATAAGTCAAAACAAGTTTAATGGAAATTGTGTTGGAACCATGAATTGTTGTAGGTAACCCAGGTACTTACTGTGTAAATATCTTAATTCCCAAATCATGATGTATTTTTAAATATACTATTATTGTAATAACATGCAACTCTGTTATCTTGTTTCAGTAAATGGACTCCTTCAGTTTAATTTGAACAGCTTTTTCGAGTTTATTAATTCTGTACATTGTTTCAGAGACATTTTTAGTTGATTATCCAAAACCAATACTATTTCTTTCCTGTTCATAGTTTTATTATCACTAATTACATTGTACTTCATAACCTAGAGTTATTTTTATGACTTTCATTTATAACTGAGAAGTAGCATCAAAACCCTGTGCTGTTGTAACACTCCTATGCCATAAAACTAGCAGTGGCCAGCTGATCTTGGGATGGTGGGGAGTTGAAGAAGAAGAAGAAGAAGAAGAAGAAGAAGAAGAAGAAGAAGAAGAAGAAGAAGAAGAAGAATGCGATGATGATGATGATGATGATGATGATGATGATGATGATGATGATGATGATGATTGGGTAGTATCTGGACCAGCAGTCATCAGTGACCCCCTGTGATCAGCAGTGATCACTGACTCCCATTGACCACATCTTCTACCAATCCACATGACAATTCAGGTTTCACTCTCTGCAGATCACTGTGGTTTCAACCACCTACTCTTAACTACAACTGCCTGCTAGTACCAGCTCAACACATGGACACTCTATCAACTTTTGCTGACTGCCTATCATCCTTCGATATCTTCCAAGGGGTTTCGTCTTCATCTTCTGGTTACCAGCAACTGTCTTCTCTGGGCTATGACTGCCAGCTAGTACCAACCCAATAAACCAACTCTCTATCAACCTTTGGCACCACTCAAGTTGCTCCAGTCATTATCAACTGTTGATGCATCTAAGACCAATAGTTAACTACTAGCATGACTCCTAGGGTATTTAAAACATCCAGATTTTTTGATTGCATTTCCTTTTTTGCCAGTAATAAATTTTGGCATATCTTATCTGTACTCTTTGTTCTCATCATTCTTGCCTTGGCCTGTGTCACTTCTTCAATTTTAATGTTTGTGGGGTTCGTTTATCATTGACATTTGGATCCCACAACACTATCCCCCTTCACTCCATTGCTCCTGCTTGTGTTGACCTAAGGAGGTTTTTAGGTGAAGTTGGTTGAAATGTGTGTTGAGCGGAATGATTTTGGCCACAAGAATAGTGATTTTCAGGATAAATGATAAAAGTCTGCTTATAATTACAAAAGCTATGTGTTTATTCAGTTAGGATTTTGACATTAATCATTACTGGTTCAGCAGCATTGGTTTTTCTATCTATAGCAGTTTGATCAGCTTTCAATCAGCCTTCAATGGTTCATTAGACAAGTAACAGGTTTTTAGTTTTCCTGAACTAAACTTTTCTGCAAATGGAAATTTCTTAATGGGAAAACTTTCTCTTTTTTACTCTTTTTTATAGTAAATTCATCTTACAAAAGTGGTTGAAGAAGGGGATTTGTGCTTTGTCTGTTTGTCACAGATCCTGTTTACTTTTTTCTAAGGGACCAACATTGAACAGCTTATATTGTAGATATTTAAAATCTCTCAAGGTAGCTGGGGCTTAAGTAAATGCACCATAAATCAAAGTCAATAACTTCCCACACTCTTCCAAATTTAGCTTCTTCCGTTCCAGCATTGCTACTAATCAATTTCATCTGGTCACACTAATTAGGATCACATTTTTTACATCATCAAATACTCTACATTTGGCCAACTAAAGTTTCTGGTAAAAATTATAATTTTTCCTGTGTCAGCATTATCTGTATTAGCATTTTGCAGAATTAAGCCATGGGTTAAGAAAATTCTTGTACAGATAATGAAAATTCAGATATAAATAAATCATATCTGTAAAAAGACACTATGAATAAAGACAAAGGAAAGGTTTTCTTTTTGTTTTAGGTGAAATCAGTTTGCTTAAATTATATATTCCTTGTTAGTAAGTATATACCATATTATATAGATAAAGAAAAAAATAATTTGCATTACATAAATAAAATTAGGATTTTGCTTTTAGTATTGTGTGTTTTAAGGATCAGAATTATTATAGATTTTACCTAACATTTGGATTTTTTGCTTACTTTGACACACATTCGTTAGGGGCAAATCACTCCACACCACAAATTAGGTACTTCTTTAGCAAGACACAAATATGACGCACACCGCTTCATAAGGGAGGTAATAAAAAAAAAATAAAATAAA